CGCAGGGAAGTATCCTGGGTCCATTGCTATTATTGCTTCACCTGAATGATCTACCATTATAATAATAGCATTTGTTACCTGGGGATACTTTTAAGATTTTCAAAGCTACATAAAGGATGGTAGGCTGTTCGCGTACGTGGATGATACAACGATATTGATGTATGATTGATAAAAATGGAATGATCGCGACAATCAAATCTGTCACAAAGGTCAGCACAGGTACTTGCAGAACGTCGAATACTAATTAATATATCGATGCGTTAAGGCGCGGTCCAATCATCATAGATATAAACATTTAAGATCAGCTAGTTTGGAGTGATCATGATCATACAAGCAGACTAATTGTTTCTGAGAAGCTTAAGATTATAGTTGAATGAAAATTATAAACTGTAATATGGTTTATGAGAATAATTGTGGTTATTTTTCACATTATTAATTGCAGTTATATAACTTTAACTCTGATAACGAAAAAAATATTGCAAATTGAAAAACGTAACACATTACAAATTTTATATCATACATATTTAGACTGCAAAAGCGTTGGACGCTGATTCACATAACATCAACCGCTTGTTGATACGATAGAGACTGAGCTAGTTTGTCAGACACATATAGTCAATCAAAAACTTCCTTGCTGCGAGTCCTGGATTTTTTTAAATAAGCTTTCGCAGCCTCTCTCTGACAGAACTGCTCGTTAAATACCTCCTTAAGTTTGGTAAGGCTTTCCAAAACACAGTATTTCCACCAAAACTCCTCAATCGTTCGCCATGCATCTTAAGGAAATGCATCACAGCATTTCGTCATGATGGGTAGCGGCAAGCCTAAATCGAACGAAAGTGCTTCTAGCAGTGCTTAGCTTTTACTATAACTGGATACTTATTTAAAATGTTATTCCGGATCATTCTACCGAAGTGGTCATTGATATGGAGTGATACACCATATTTAGGACAGAAAACTGATCCCTGAGGTATATATATATAGGTGAAAAATTAAAGCTTCCGCCTTTTGTTGGGTACTTCGACAAAAATTTTAAGCAAAGAGCACTCTTTATACTTTTTTTATTCTCTCTAGCTTTCAATGGACTTTGCCATGATCATCAGGAGCTGCAATTACATTGATAACAGTAGCAACAATAGTGTAAAAAGAATTTAAATTAACTTAACTTACAGTAGTATGTGAGGATGTTGCTAATTGTTGTTTACGTTCAGGATGAGGGAAACACCCAGTAACATGGTAAAAGCTGGATAAATGGTACAATGGTCAAAATTATATAAAATACACACAACTGTGTGACAAGAACAAGTTAAAAACAGATTAAAAATTTTTCAGAACATGAAAGCATTACATCGTGAAGCCACTTGATGATTGCACAAAATGGTGGGCATGGAATAATGAGTAAGATGAACCCTTTGACAGATGGTCGAAGGTTGTCAGTGTACTGTAAGTTAAATTAATTTAAATTCATTTTACACTATTGTTGCTACTGTTATCAATGTAATTGCAGCTCCTGATGATCATGGCAAAGCAAGAGAGAATAAAAAAAGTATAAAGAGTCCTCTGTGCTTAAAATTTTTGTCGAAGTACCCAACAAAAGGCGGAAGCTTTAATTTTTCACCTAACTGGTCTAGACGACAATGACCACGTCTCAAATATATATATATAACTAATCGAGTGTAGTTTTGTTTTTGTGAGTACACACATAAGTGTGTGGGATTTTTTTGGATGCAGTAATAGTTTAAAGCAGAGTGATTACATGAACATGCTCTCTTTGGCTTCTTTCGTTATAACCCAAAAAAAACAACGCTCGACTAATAGTGCTGTTTTGGAATAGTCAATTATATCTTTATCTGTTTATGTTAATAAGTTACTGATCATATTTATTTCGGGAGAAACAGCAAACACACCAAATAGTACTAAATACTATCCCTGGGACGAGTATGCCGAAAAGCAATAATTAGACGATTCTGGTAAAACTGATGACTGGAAATGCCTAACTTGTTTTATTATAAATAGAACAAAAATTGTGTTTGTATCAATTCAATGATATTTATATTTTTTTTTATATTTTCTCTATGTAATTTATATTGCCCGATCTCTATCAGCAGTGCTGTCACTTAAAAAACCTACATAATGTCAAAAAATTGGTAAAATGTCAACTTGTGCCGCTAGTACATTCTGCTCTTACTACAAGTGAGCATGAAGTGAATGTCAGCTAGTTTGAAGGTGGAATACTATAGGGATACTTGCATCTCAAAAAAAAACCTAGATAATGTCAAAAAAAATCGTTATAGTGTCACTTTTCAAGTAACGTAATACGGCTGCCGCAAGAGGCAGGCATATCAGCTGATTCATATACCCGTCTTACAGTCAGCAAGATGAAAGAGAAATCTTGCCGGGTCTTGCATGAAAATCACTGGATTTTTCATGTAAATTTGTGGTAGAATATTCAGTAACTTGCAAGTTACCAATGCAGTTACCATCTCTCTGGGCCAGTCCAGTAGTTTGTGTGGTTATATTCCATTGTTTAGTTTTAGGATAATAAAACAATGTTCTGAGGGGTAAGAAAACAAAACCAAAATTTTCGGTTCGGAATGTGAATATTTCATTTGTTTAGGTTTGGCCAACCGTGTTATTTTGAATCGAGGAAACAGGGCCTTCTTGCAACTGCGAGTGATTAGATGCAGTTGTCTTGCAGATAAAATAACGTTATTTTGCAACTGAAAGAGCTTGCATGCAATGGTCTTCTGGACTGTAAAACGGTTTTAATCCATATGCAAAGCTTCCTCGAGCAATCATGCTTCAAAGAACTTCTCGCCGTCTAGCCGTCTTCTTTCAATCCTGGAGGCTACGAAAATGACCTTAGATGCAATTCGCACCCTCGCTACAAAAATTACACAACTCAAAAAATGTGGATTTCCAGTTATTATTTGCAATTACATGCGGTAGTTATGGGTTACCTTCCACCAAAAGCGTACCAAATTAACGTTGTCCATTGCCGCCACATGGCATATGCGTCACTTTTGCAGATTCAGCGTGTATTAGTATCTTCCACTAAACAGAAATATTTTCAGTTGTACCCTGTCCTTAGTGCAGTAAAGGTGTCGCTTTAGATGAATAACGGTGATTATAATTCTTATAATATTTAGAATTAAGTCAGCTTAATGGAATAAATCTATGTAAAATTTGTTTTACTTGTCGCTTTAGTTGCTAAAAATAAAAGAATGTTCAAATTATAATTTGATTTAGGTCACTTTTGTTGTAATGCGTTTTGGTTTATGTCACTTTTGTTGTAACAACTCACGACGATATACTAGCGGATTAACTAGAAAAACTTATTGAAAATTATAAATATTTGAAAAGTAGTTTGACATTTATTTAAGAGAAAATATGCAGCTTCTTATCCTTACGTTGAACATGTACCTGTGAATGATTCAGACTTAAATGGGGAAATCGAGCATAGCACCCAAAGATAGCAATTTTCATATTGAAGTTGATCGTTTCCCCTTTTATGCATAATTTCTATGCAGGTCCGTCAAGTTTTCTCAACTATCAATATATTAAGGGATGGTTTAAGCCCCTAGATCATTCCCAAAGTGGTCTATATCGACCCCTAGGGGTCTATGACAACCTGCAAGGTGTCTACGTCAGCGAAAAAAAATTTGGGGGTCCATGAAATGAATATGGGGGTCCACGATAGTGGATCTCAACACATACACTGATAGTACCTATTTACTTACATCATACTATCTTATAATATCAAAACATATACATTATTTATAAAAGTACCTATGAAGTAAAACATTTATTATATATGTTTATAAAATTGTGTAAGTTATAGGATGTTGGTATTCGCTTTGTGGTCGCAATACATTTTGAACTTGTAAAAACCTGAGAGTCGCAGTCTCAGTGCTTCGCTACCTTGCACTGACTTGTTCAATTCGTCACTCTATAAATACGAATGTGGGACAAATACGTTTATTCGTTTCCTGAATCTTGAAAAGAAAAGTGCTAAGAAAATATTTTAAAAAATATAAACAGATAGTATATCACACAAATTATAGTGAGTCAGTGTTATTTTGTTTGAGAGTGTTGGAGAAAAGTAAGTACATTATTTTTTATTAAATTTTAGTTTTGTACTCGTAGTTAGCAAAGATAGATAAATTACGCCAATCATGACTTTAGTTATTAGTAGTTAAATATTCAATCATGCAAAATTACACGAGTACTCCTCAATAGTTTCTTTTTGAAAGTTTTAGCAATCGGTAATATAATTACAGTGCAATCTCCGTAATTCGAGCTAATTGTTGCAAGAAGATGTTCGAATTATGGAATGTTTTCGTAAAAATCAAAAAATATTTTTAATATACCTACAGCTGCTGGATTTTCTGTCTTATTTAAATAATTTAATTTTGCCCACAGATGACTGATGCCATGTCCGAATCTAAAAAGAAATGTAGACAGTACAGTGTTGATTATTTGAAATTTGGCTTCATTCCATCATTGCCGAACAAACAATCGCCTATGTGCCTTTTATGCAACAAAGTTTTGGGCAATGACGCTATGAGACCATCTAAACTGCAAGATCATCTGAGAAGATGCCACCCTGATAAAACAGAGAAAGTTTGTCCACATTTTCCTAACAATTCAGTTTTTTAGAAGACCAGTTAATATCCGCCAGAATTAGTGAAACGTATCAGAACATCTTGATGCTGAAATTGATTCTCAATTGGACGAGTTGCTTTTACATTCGATCATACAAGCCAAAACACCTCCAACAACCAATAGCCATTATAGATGATACGATTCAATTTTAGATGGTGAAAGCTGTAGCATTGCTAATTACCAGCGTATATATGCAGAATTGTATTTATCTCAAGAAAACCCCACTATGGAGAACAGAACTCAAGAAAATCTTGCTTCAGATAATACTTTGGAAAAAGCTAGAAGCAATAGGCCTCAGCCTAGATGTAGCAAGTTTTACACAATGTTTTGTAATATAGATCGTTCTACAGTTGTGCATCTAAGAAGGAAATACGTGGTGATGAGAGCGACGTGGATGATTCAGATGCAGATCCAGATTTCATCAACAAGCATCCCGCTAGTTACAAAAGTTCAACGAAGACTTATATCATCTTAATGAACGAGGAGCAGACAGAAAAGGCAAAAAAGAAAACAAAAATGTGGTATCTGGCCTACTAAAAAAGCTAAATTGTTGAGAAGTTATGGACAAGCGAGTACCTACATAGCATCATTGGAAAGCAGATTATGAAATATCCCAAATCTGGACCGATTTACGAGCCCGACGAGTATGAAACACTAATTCGAAAGCCAAAATAAAGTGGTCCAGCTTACTGAGTACACCAGCTTATCTTTGAAAATTTCTACGGTTTGAAAGCCTTACCAGAGCAGTGGCGAAAAAACTTTACGATAGATACTGAAAAAGGGGAATTGGAATGACATCAAACTACTTAAATTATGCAAAGTATGCGCGGATTATTTTTTCAATAAAACTTCCTATGAAGATTTCGAATTCAGAAAATTCGACATGAATAATGTAAAAACACACTAGGTCTCAAGAGCGTAATGCAGACTGCTAGCTTAGTTCAAGCTTATTGGAATAAGTTCCCACAGCGTGGTATAAAAAAGTAACACCTACAAGAACTAGCTGATAAGGGTACACTGAAAAATATATGACATACTTAGGATTTAGTTCAGTTTAAATCTTTTAAAAAAATTACAAGTTACCAATGAACAGTGAAAATTATTTTTAATTTAACTGCAAGTCTCGCAGCCTTCCTTGTTCTGATTTTTTGTATGCTGAGTTGTTACTTTTCCTCAAAAAAACTCGATTTATTATGTCCTTGATAAATTTTGAACGTGAAAACATTCACAGTACAATCATGGCGATTTATTTTTAAGCAAACAGTGTAACAACTTCTCTTCTCTTTTTTAAAATTAGACGTGACGAACTTACCAGTAAAGACTGAAAATCATGTTAATGTATAATTGTTTTGTAATGCATTTACTACTTATTCTTGTTTTCTTGTTTCTCCTTAAAAAATAGGAATACTTTATCAGTATTTAATTTCAATTTTATGAGCCCCTTCCCACTTCAGTTGGCCCAACTATTGAAATCTTAGTTTTTTTCTTATCAAGCACAAATAATGAAAATGTATCAGTTATAGGTTTAAAATATTAACAATGAATATTTTGATAATATACAGTAGAAAACACCAACTTTATCACTCCCTAATCAAATTTGCAGCATAAAAATAACACATGTTGCAATTACAACATATCAACCTATGTTCATTTCAATGCAAAATAAGTCTATAACGCATAGGTGTCTGTGATCAATAAAAGCCATGACAATTGCTTTTATTAATCAGAGCTGCCAGAATACGTTTAAAATAGTTTTGGGTAGTTAAGGTTTTCAAAATGGGTAGAGAAAAGGTTATTAGTGAGAAAATTCGGTTAATGATAATTACATTTTTTAATCCTGGGAAATCAAACTCAGAAATTGCAACTTTGTTAGACTTATCGCGGTACAGTGTGAGAAATATTGTTAGAAGATATAACGTAACTGGTTCAGTTAATACCAAGCCACGATATGTGAAAAAAAGTAATATCACAAATGCCGACCGAAGAGCATTAAGAAGAATAATCGTGAAAAACAGGCGTGCCAATTATCTACAATTAGGTGCTCTGTGGAGTGACGCTGTTGGAAGGAGAATTTCAAGGTCCACAATTCATAGAGAGGCCCACAAACTTTGATTTAGCACTTGCAAGGTAAGTTTTCTTATAAAAAAAGTGAAGTAAAAACCCTAAAGTTGCACAACTTGTTTATAGGCCAAAGAAAAGCCACTATTAACTCCACTGCAAAAGAAAAATCGGCTTAGATGCGCTAAAGAACATAGAAAATGGACACCTCAACAATGGTGTGCAATACAATGGAGTGATGAGGCCCGATTCGAAGTTTGTGTTGGTGACAGTCGCAGCAGAGTTATTCGCAAAAAAAATTAAGCATTCCATGTTTTGACTGTCTAAAGAGAAAAGTGAAATTTCCAGCATCCATTATGGTCTAGGGCAGTGTGTCATCAAAAGGAGTAGAAAACTTTACTTTATTGATGGAAATGTGGATACAAACAAATATTAGGCAATTTTAGAAGAATCGCTTTTACCAGTGATGGAAGATGTTAACATCCGGCCAAGATTTTGTGTTTCAGCAAGATGGTGCAGCGTGCCATACCTCAAAAAAGGCTATAAAATGGATGGAAGAAAATAATGTACCACTTTTGAAATGGGTTTCTAGCAGTCCAGATCTGTCACCTATTGAAACTTTGTGGCACGAGATGAAAAAGGTTCTACGACAACATCCTGCTCGCACAATCACCGAAATGAGACAAAAGCTTCAAGAAATATTGGATTGTTTTACACCAAATTTTTGCCAAAACTTGGTTAACACTATGCCCCAAAGAATTTCAGCCGTAATAAAAAATAAAGGTGATGTTACCCAATGGTAATCTTTCAATTGTTGCTTTGTTAACTTCGCGCATTTATTCGCACATTGTTTGTTTGTTCAGATGTTCTATTAGTTATAGGTCTAAGTGATTTCAAATATGTATTTTTACGACTAGAGTGTACCTAAAATGCTTTTGAGAAAATAAATTGTTTTAGAAGTAAATAGTTTCGTCATGTTTAGTTTATAAAGGCATATTTTGGTACAAATCTTGAAGTGGGCCAACTGAATTCTATTCTCAAGCAAAAACTGTGACAACTCAAATTTCTTGTCTATTGTTCAGCATTAGCTTGAACAACAAAAGTGTCGCAAATCTTTTGGTGCTCAACTAAACTGTCGTTTTAGAAAATAATTTTAGGATTTTTGTTCAAATTAAACAGAAAAAGTGACGCAACTCAACACTAGCTTTTTAAAAGCATACCAGCCTAGAATGGAGAATATGATGTAATTTCAGTCTTTCTAGTTCTTGCATTATTTATCCGGTAAATATATTTAAAAAAAAAATTGGAGTGTGATATTCTTCGCTGTGCCAAAAACATTTTTGAAGTTGTGTCACTTTTGTAGCTGGGGTGCGAATTGTCTTTGCAGACAAAACAATGCCGTCTCCAGCCGCAAGAGTCTGGTACACCGTAAAACGGTTTTAACCCATATGCAAAGCTTCCATGAGGAATCCTGCTTCAAACCACTTCCGACTGTCTAGCCGTCTTCTTTTAATCCTGGCCTTGCAAACAAAACATTGCCGTCTTGCAACTGTAGCAGCTTGCATACATTGGTCTTGTGGACTGTAAAACAGTTTTAATCCATATGCTAAGCTTCATCACACAATCCTGCTTCAAAGGACTCCTGGCCGTCTAGCCGTCTTTTCATCCCGTCGGCAATGAACATGACCATGGATCCAATTGTTTTGCATACCATGCAACAGCTAAAGCTTACATTCAATGGTCTTGTGGACTGTAAAATGGTTTTAATCCCTATGCAATGCTTCCTCGAGCAATCCTGATTCAAAGAACTGCTGACCGTCTAGCCGTATTCTTTTAATCCTGGCGGCCATGAACATGACCATCGATTTGACGTTTGGCGGTGGCAGCCGAGCTTCACGTTCCTCGAATCCGAATTCTCACACACGCAGCAGCGCTAAACCTATAAAATACAACGTTACCGAGTATATTTTTGGATGATGGAAAGTTACGATTGACCGACAAACAGACCGCCTCGTAGGTGGCGATATCTTCATTATTGCCGCATTAAAATGCCGGCGACTGAGCAGCCTGATGGCGGCCGCACGGATTTAGACTTACGGGTTTTTTCAGTAACCGTCATGGGTGTTCCTTCTGCGAAACAAGATACGCAATAGTAGCATAAGAAAAGTATGCAGCTAAAGTCTCAGAGTGCGTTGACCAAAATGCTTGTATAGGATTTGTTAGCTAAGGAGCTCCTACTAGTATCCTCATGGGTAGCTCAACTCTCTGCCGTTGTCTCTCAGAGCTAAGCCAAAATACATGTATAACTGGCAGCCATGCACGCTACTAACAGTAGCCCAAGAAGCTAATGTGTTTTGAAGATTAGATCGCAGAATACCCTTTCAGTGGTGATGAGGAAGGGGGAGCGTCTGCAGGTTGTCAAAAATGTAAAAACAGACTAGTGACGTATAAAAACTCGAGCGGGACAGATATTCATATTGTATGCTCGAAACTTGAATCAACCTGATTTGATATATAGAGTGACAAAAAAAGGTAAACACCTGCGTATGTTTATCCGATTTTAATAATTTCACTGGACAACAAATTTTAGTTTTTTAATTGTATCTTGTGGGAAACGTGCACTTCTTTGTTAATTTTGGGGCGCTGAATCCAAAAATGACAATTAAATAAAAAAATTAGTTGCGGTTTAGAAAAAGAACTTTTTATTTTTAAGGATATATTAAAAAAAGTAACAAGATTCATATACTTATAAGAATCACTATATGCGCTGTCTTTTTGCTGTTCTTTTATGGATCGTTTCTGGAGTATCTTTACCAAGAGTCCAACAGTAGTCTGCAAGCATGGAAGGATTCCACTTTCCCTGGAACCTTTTTTCCATTGTTGAAATATCCTGATGAAAACGTTCGCCGTGCTCACCACTTACGGCTCCGCAATTTTCAGGAAAAAAGTCCAGGTGTGAGTGTAGGAAATGTATCTTAAGAGACATATTACAGCCCATCTTTTGATACGATGACAGCATATTTTTGACAAGGGTTTTATAGTTGTCAGCTTTTCTATTTCCCAAGAAATTAGTGACCACCAGACGGAAATCATTCCAAGCAGTTTTTTCAGTACCTGTTAAAGTGTTTTCAAACTGTGTATCTTTCAAAATATTTCGAATCTGTGGCCCAACAAAAATACCTTCTTTAACCTTTGCCTCACTTAGTCTTGGAAATTTCTGACGCAGGTATTGAAAAGCTGACCCATCTCTACCTAATGCCTTGACAAAGTTTTTCATTAGGCCCAACTTGATATGCAGTGGTGGTAATAAATTTTTTTTCGAATCTACTGGCGTATGCTGTACATTTTTTTCACCTGGCTCTAGGAATTGACGAACAGGCCAGTTTTGTCTGGTGTAATGAAGTGCCTTTGCCCGACTGTCCCATTCACACAAAAAACAGCAAAACTTTGTGTAGCCTAGCTGCAGCCCACGTAAAAGT